CCCTGGGCAGGTTCTTACCCTCCCAGTCCAGTCACTCAACAGTGACCTGAGGATAGCAGGCCAGTTGAGCTGACACTAGCCAAGGCCTCGACAGGATCACAAAGGGTCTGACTTAAGATCTGTCTTGGGCTGATCCTGTGTCTCCTGGACACTGAGCCTCATTTGGGGCATGACACAAGACAGTCTTCTAGGACCAAAGCACCGGGAACCAAAGTCAGATTAAAATGAAGTGTTAAGCTGAGCCTGGTGGTGCAGGCCTGTCATGCCAGCTAATTGGAAAGCTGGGGCAGGAGAACTGTAAGTTCAAAGACTGCCTGAGCTGTAGAGTAAGTTCAAGACCAGCCTGGGCAACTTAGTAAGACCCTGTCTCAAAGTAAAGTAAACGGTGCTGGAGGTGTGGCTAGGTATAGCCAGATTTTGTCTCAAAACCCAAGGGATAATGTTTTAACTCAGTGGTAGAGCATGTACCTAAAACACCTAGTGAGGGATTGGAGGCAGGACTCAATGGTAGGGCAGCTGCCTAGAATCCCCCAGTGAAGGGCTGGGGGCATGGCTCAGTGGTAGAGCCTTTGCCTAATATGTGTGAGGCCCTGGGTTTAATTCTCAGTGCCATTAAAATAAAAAATGATACAAGTTTTAGACACAACTACTCAATCTTAGAAGTCACATGCCTTGGGTCTATCAGTACCCTCTCCCTTGTCTGGTGGCTGCTTCACTGGACAGCTTGAATGACAGGCCATTTCCTCCATGACAGAGAGTTGCACTAGGTGGTGCTGGCCTTGAAGGCTGCAAACCTGGGTGGGAAGGAGCCCCATGGGAGGGCTAGCTGCCCCACATTTTGGGTCTCCCTGTGAAATACACCTAGTGAGATGAGGTCAGCCGCCTGCTGGGAGCACCCTGGATCCCTGGGCAGCCTTCCCCTGGTCCCTGCCCCTCACCTGAGTCGGTCCTCATCCAGGAAGTCCACAATGTTACTGCGATCATTCACGGTGCTCACGTACTGACGCAGCAGCTCTTGTTCCCGCTGCTGGTCTTGGGGGGACTTCAGACCCTCTGCAGGGACAGTCAGCCATCAGCAAATGCCCTGGCCCCATTCTGCTCAGGGACAGGACATCCCCACTGCTTATGTAGGACCTCCCCCCTGGAGAGGAGAGTCGGGTACTGGGTAGAGGCTCTGCAGCAAAGGCTGGATGAGAGACAGCGGTCAGCCTGAGTGTGTGGTCTTTCCCACAAGGCGGCACTGTGACAAGCCGGGCTGAAGCTGGGGTCCCACATCCCACCATGTCCACCCAGGGAGACAGCATACAACCACAGGGCAGAGCGTGATCTGGGAGGTCATATCCAGGATGGCAGGGGTGCGACTGTCCTCAATTCACAAAGTACCTCTCCCACATCAAGCCCTTGAACACAACACCAATTGTCTGGGGGTCCTTTCTTTGGAGAACATGAAACACAGGCATAGAGAAGCTAAGACAGCGGCATGAGGTCACACAGCCAGAAGTATACGAGCTGAAGCCACGTGGCTTGACCACAAGAACCCAGGGAAGCTATACACGTGGGCCTGTGGCTCTCAGGCCCAGCTTCCTGAGACAGACACTCACCCGGTTTGGCCATTAGTTGGCGCAGCTCGCTCTCTAAGTCCATCTGCTGCTCCTCCAGGTGCTGGTCCTTGGACCTGCAGGACACAGAGGTCTGAGGCCCAGCCTGACATGGCTGTGCCCACCACACCTCCCAGCCATCCCTGCACACCATAGCAGGACCCAGGGCCTCACTTGTACATGAGTTCTGACTCCAGCCTCAGTAGCAGCTGCTTCTCATGGATGAGCCGGAACCAGTCCACCATGAGGGCATCCTCTGTGACGTCTGTGGAGAGCCACGGGTGGGCAGGGAGGCCGTAGAGGACCCAGCCACCACCTCAATGCAGAGGGGCCCAGGAAGGCCAAGCTGAGCCAGCAGGGGTGTGGCCAGGCTGCAGCCGGTAAGGGCTAAGGATAGTTAGTGTAGATGTGTTCATCCAGTGTGGATGTGTCCAGTCTAGGGGTGATAACCTACAAGTGGACTGCAGCCAGCTCATGGCAAGCTGTAGGGTATGATCAGTCCATGAGGGTGTGGCCAGACAATGGGGGTGTGATCAGCAGTAGGGCATGGCCCCTGGCGGAGCATAGCCGTCAGTAGGGGTGTGCCCCAGGCTTACCTCCCTCTGCTGCCCGCAGCCGCTTCTCCAGCTCCACGCCTCTGAGCTCCAGGGTGTCCAGCTGACTTTCAATGTATTGCAGTTGCCTCTGAATCTCCTCCTGGGGGATGTAGTCAGGGTGCAGCTGGGGGACCAAGGAACAGTGAGAGCAAGCACAGGACCAAGGCCCAGCCTCCCGCAGCCACCCAGCTTACTCACTCTGATAGGGGAGGTCACAGTCTCGCCAGGTGGAGGAGGGGTGCTGGCCAGGCCCGCAGGCTTCCCTGGAAAAGGAACAGACTGAGGAGGCTCAGGGCACAGAGCCCAATAAAACCTGGATGTGGCCTGGATAAGGTCTGACCCCTCTATTCTAGGCCCAGGAAGTTCCTACGCATGCCCCAAAGCTCCAGCAGGCATCGTCCCCTTTACCCACATCAAATAGAATGGCACCTCTGGCTGACCTGGTGTACCCCTAGTGGGCTTTGTTTTCTCCTTCCAGCTGCAAGCCTGAGTTTCCTTCTCCACGGGTTCTGGCCGAAGCCAATCAGCAGAGACATCGAGGCTAGCAGGGATGGCCAGTTTCTTACGGTGGGATGGGGATGGAGAACGGGCTGCCCATACAAAGGTAAGGGGTGGAGACATGTGTCAGGCTAGCCATAGCCCTTGAGCAGCACCACCAGGAGCAGCGGCACTGAACCTCTGATCTGACTCAGGACAGCCAGTGTTGCTGTCCTGAGCGGTTCCTGAGGAGACACAGGGTAGGGCCTCTGTCTTGCTCCGACTGGCCATGTCCACCCAGGGAGACAGCATACAACCACAGGACAGAGCGTGATCTGGGAGGTCACCCACAGACAGAACAACAGTGCTAGGAGCAAACATGGACACCACACACGTGCACACAGTGAACACTGCAGCACCCAACATGCAGGTACACACATACATCCTTACCTAAACATACACACGCACACATTCAGTTTATTCCTGAACACACACGTGAATGCATACATTCTGTGTCTGAATACATGTGTGCATACGTGTCCCATATATGCACACACATGCTCACACATATATCCTGTGCCTAAACACACATGCGCGTCATATCTGAACACATGTGCACATGCACGCATCCTGTCTAAACACATATACACCTGTGTATCCCATATGTGAGGACATGTGCACATATCTGAATGCACACATTTTATACATGAGCATAAATGTGCATGCATGCATGTATGTTATGGTTGAGCACAAATACAATATGTGAGCACAGGTGCACACATGTATCCCATGTCTAAGCCTTCAAGTGCATATATGCACCCCATACCTACATATGTGTACATACACGCACCCTGTGCCTGAACACACATGTGCACACATACATTCCATGCATGGACTCACATGTGCATTCATACATCCTGTGTCTAAGCCTGAAAGTGCACACATGCATCCCATACCTAAATGTGTATACATACATGCACCTTGTGTCTGGACACACATATGTGAACACACCTGTGTATACATGCAACCCATGTATGAACACTGGCAAATGCATGTCTGACATGTATACATGTATGCCTGCACATTCATCACACATGTGACTTTATAGGCATGCATATACCCCATGAGTGAATACACATGTGCACATATGCGTCAATGTGCACAATGCATCCCACATGTGCACATATTCACATACATGAACACGTGTACATACATGCTTTTCACACACGTGTACATGCTCTACATGCATCCACTTGTGTGTCTGAACACATATGTGCAGGTACATGTCACCTGAACCTGTGTACACATGCATTCCACATCAGAATACACCTGAACATGCATGTGCACCCATTATCCCTTGCTGAGCAGGGTAGTGGGAGCACACCCCACACACTGGACACAGGCCTGGGTTCCCATCACACACTGACACACGCCCGGGTTTCCAGAAGCATTACCTGTGAGGCTGGGCCTGGGGCCAGGCATGCCTGGCGTCCTTTCAGGCTGCACAGGAGTCAAGGTGGTGCGGATGTCCCCTTTAAGGCTGCTGGAGGCCTTCCTGGAAATGTCCTTGACCCTCAGCTCTACCCGGACCAGTGGCTCCTTCTGCTCCACAGCCCTGGGTAGAAGACAAGGTCAGTCCTGCCTTGGGTGGGGACAGCCAGGAGGTCACCCCAAAGCCATGTTGCAGGTTCAGATGGACTGGCCTCTGGCCTCCAGCTCCATAACCCAACCTGTTTCTGCCCTCAGGGCACAGGAGTGTGGGCCTCCACCTGCCATGGGGAGGCCACCTCCAGGAACTGAGACAGACTGTGGTCCACACAGACCAAATACCCTGACGCCCACCCCAGGCCAGGCTCTTGTGAGCTGCTGGGCACAGTGCAGCTGCTGCCCATGTCCACTGCATCCCTTAAGTCACCCCACCAGGACGAGGTGTCCTTGTCAGTGTCTCCATCACTTGGCTGGTGTCAAGAGTCCCAGGACACTCAAGCTGGTGTGACCCAATTTTCTGAAAGGTGCAGGTTCTTGCCAGAGCTGTGCCAACTGTTGGATGTGCACTGTCATGTGCCCATAAGCACTTATTAGGCACCTGCTGTGTGCTGGCTCCATTCATGTTGTAGACCCATGAGTGTATGCCCTGGCAGGGTGAGGCCCACAACCTCCCACCCCCAGCCCCTCACCCTCCATCCCCACTCACTTCTCAGCAGGATTCTTCTTATCCACAGGCCTCAGGCGGGCCCGCCATCCTTCTGGTCCCTCCTCCTGGCCTTCCTGGGGGGGCACACCTGGACCTGGGTTGGGGGCAAGGAAAGATCAAGCAGATAACCCAGGTTATAGGTGTCTCCTTATAGTCAACCCCACCTTTGGACATCCCCAGAGCCAGCCCAGCATACAGGATAGAGGCAGGCCTTCTAGCCTGACTGACCACTGCACTATGTGCCCCTGAGCACCATGAGCCCTCTCTGGGCCTCGATTTCCAATCTGTCAAAAGGGTGCCAACATACAGGGAAGCCTTGTGGACTGACTCTGTGATGTGAGGAAGAATGGCTGGGAATAGTTGCCCATCTGTAGCCCTTCTTAGTCAACAGGGAGTTCAGTCAAAGGGAAAGTTCCAGAAAGGCACTTTGTGTAGTGTGTCCCAAACCCCATTTGATGGTGCCATCAGAGTCAAAAAAAAGGGCCCTGGACAGAGGTATGACAAACTGGGGTATCTAAGAAAAGCTGTTGGGGGGCAGCATGACCCCAATCATAAGCGAGGCCATTGTGAGTATGGATAGGTCTCCTCCTGGGGTCACAGCTGAGGACCAAAGCCACAGGGGCTTGGGCTGAGGCATGAGGCTGGGACACTGGTCACAGAATGACCCTGAGACAACGGCCACAGCCACACCAGAGCAGCAGGTGAGGATCCAGGGGAGGTGATAAGGCAAGTGGCATAGAGCATTGTGGGTCCAGGAGCTGGGCCACAGAACAGCACAGTCAGAAGGCCCTTCAGTGAGAAAGGCAGCCAGGGCTCAGTGCAAAGCCTGGCAAGCAGTAGACCCCAGGGGCCTGCACCCGTCCCTACCCCATGTCAGGGGTTCTTACCCTTTGCTGTCAGAGCCCTTGGCTGTGGCTGGGAGACAACACCAGTTTTGCTGACCCCTGAGGATACAGCCAGATTCCTATTGCCAGCCTGGGGTGATACAGATGCCCGTGGGGTAGAGCCCACATTCAGGGGGACTGGAGACTCCATCCTCGAAGCAGAGCTAAGGGCCTGGGGAGTGGCTGTGTGTGACAATTTGGCTGGGGGAACTTTTTGTGACACTTCATTCTTGGGAAGGGCATTGTGGGCAGGGGAAGTGGCTGCAGAGGGCCTGTGGGAAGAGAGCATGTGTCAGGCATGGGTGGATACAAGAGCCCTCTCCCCCACAGAGCTAGTTGCCAAGGTGCCGTCAATGAGTGGAGAACCGTCCCCACCAGGGATGGACGCCCATGACATCTACTGTGGCAGCTACTCGTGTTGGTAGCAGATTTCTGCTCCTATTAAATCTAGTGTCTGCTGTGATTAAAATGTCCCCCAAATATACCATGCATGGGGTGCCAGAGCTGAAACACCATAGAGGTGCCCTGGTTGGAGCCACAGACTGGTCTGCACCTGCTCAGCTCAGCTAATAACTGACTCACAGTCAGCACCAACCGCACCCAGGCTGCACAGCTCTGAGCCAACTTGATTCTCCCAGGCAGCAAGCCTGCAGGAAGAGGGGCTGTAGGCTCCCAGAGCCCAGGTGAAACCAGGCACTGCCCGAGTCCTGCCCAGCCTGCTCCACGGGGGCTGAGATGGTGCCTCATTGCATCTCAGGATCTGTAGCATGTTCAGTCTCCTCCCAACCCTAGGACCAGCCCAGGGATCTCTGGGCACCAGTCTGAGTAAAGTCAGGAAGTTCCAAGGCAGGAATGCCTCACCCTGAAATCAAGCGCCAACTTGGGACGGAACCTCCTGATTCAGAGATGCCTGTGCTGGGTTGAATGGGATCCCCTAAAACTCAGGTCCACTGAGGAGTGAAGGGAGTGATCTAATTCAGAAAAAGGTGGATGTAGTCACATTAGAAGGTGGTCACGCTGGGGGATGGTGGCCCCATTCAAAACTGGTGTCCTTATAAAAGACAGAATCTGGTGGGTGCATATACCTATGAGCCTAGCACTAGGGAGGCCGAGGCAAACGGATTTGAAAGTGAAGGCCAGCCTGGGATACATAGTGAATTTGAGGCCTGGAATACACGAGTTCCCATCTCAAAACCCCAGGCCTGGGCCTAGAAGATGGCTTAGAGGAGCAAACCATTTGCCATGCAGCCTGAAGACCTGAGTTCCAGCCCCAAAAGCCAAATGCGGGTGGAAAGAGAGAACCTACTCCACAAAGTTGCCCTCTGACCTCCAGGTGCTGACATTTAAACTCCCGCTACACACATCATACTCAGAATTTCTTTTAAAAAGCCTGAAGGTATAGCTCGGTTAGTAGAAAACTTGTCTAGAATCCCCCAGTGAGGGGCTGGGGGCGTGGCTCAGCAGTAGAGCACCTGCCTAGCCTGTATAAGACTCTCCTCTCCTACTATCTCCAGCACCACATCCAAAAAAAAAA